AAAAAATATAATGTCGGGGTAGTTAAAAATACAGCCCTATTTTTTAAAAAAAAATGATCACATATGTAGTGGCTATTTCCAATAATTGCTATATAATTGCCAACTATATAATGGTTAAAAACTATTATATATTGACTCAGAGAATATATAATATCGGAATATATAGTGGTTGAAAACCATTGTACATAGCAAAAATAACTACTATATATAACCTTCTTGTAGTAATGAAATTTAGTCAAGAATAATGTCACCTTGGAAGGTATTACAATGACAACAAGAGGAAGAGGCAATTGTAGATTCAGGGGATGAGGAAACCTAGAGCAGTAATGCACATAAGCATAGAAAAGGCCATGTCAAGAAAACTTGCCATCATCTAATCCAATTCCCTTCAAATTTCAAATGGAACAAGAATAGAGATTCTACTAATTAACCCACAAACAAATCAAGCTAGTGCTGGGTTAATGCAAGATCATGAAACTCTAACTAATATAGTAGGATTTGTTTCTCCAACTCTACTCAAGAGTTAGAAACCACTTTCCATACTCTCCTAGTACAATTCATCAAGATTACCCATAAATATAACAATTATTCCTAAAGCATTCTATATGCTTCCAAGTTATCAATCCTCTTTTTTGTTAGTATTAAATTCAGTTCCTTGATACCCAAACAATTAATTAAATCATGAAGCCATAATTTTAAATCACCACAAATTTTTAAAACTATCCCTAGCCTAAAATTTGTGCCTATTTCTCTATATTTAGGTTCTCTCTTCACCTTCCATTTCATCAAGATTACCCGCAAATATGATTATAATGGTGGCCAATCATAAAATTAAAATGAAGAAAAAAAGAAATAAATATAATTGGAAAAATAAAATATATTCATAAATAAAAATCCATAGTGTCAAAACATAAGTAGAAAATTAGTTCTCTAATCAGGCTACATCCCTAACTTAATTGGATAATTTATAAACACAATAAAGTAAACAAATAACACCATTTTAAAATCCTCAATCGTGATAAATAATCATAAGAAATTAAAGAGCATGGAAAGCAATGAAATATCAAATCCAAAAAGGATAAATGAGCAAAATACCCTTTTAATTTTAGGTCCAGTAACATTATAGACCCTAAATTTATTTATTGTAAAAGTTGTTCCTTTAACTTTTAAAAACAATGCAGCATGTCCCTACTGTTAATAAAAGTTAATTTTGATTGTTAGTTGAACAAAAAATGATAGAGAAATAAGAAATATGAGTATATTTTCTATTCAAATCTCATCTTTATCTAATAATTAAATCTAGAGGGAAAATATATAAAATATTTATAAATTTAATCTAATACACCCAAAATCTAGACTTATTTAATTATAAAATATGCACTTATCTTGTATCTCTTATTTGCTTGCTTTTCCTTGGAGTTATTCTTGTTACTTTTAATTACTTGCACTTATTAAATTTTCTTCTACTAAAATCTAATATTTGATTGATTTACTTAACTAAGATGAAAATGAATTTAATTTGTGTGATATCCCCCTCTTACTTTAGTTCCTTGCAGGACAATCTTGATTTTACCATATAGATCCATACACTTGCAATGCATTTAAATTAAGTGGCAATCAACTTTTTTGTGGGTCCGTCTTTGGTGCTCAACAACTTGCTAAGCAACGAGGCGCTTATCCATCAAATAAAACTTGGATCATCTAGATTAAATTTGGATGGCCCAAATTTTTTTAATTTTAATTTTAATTTTATATTTATTAAAATAAAAATTTATAATCTTTTTATAAATATATTCATCATCATCTCTGAATAAGATTGATTTAATTTGGATGGTCTAATTTAATATTATTACTTTTAAAATTGATTATCTGCAAGTACTCTGGACAGTCCAGATTCAAAATTAAATTTTTTTATTTGCAAGATCCAAATTTAAAGTTTTTATTTTTTATTTTGATGAATACAATATTAAAAAATAAAATATATAATATTTTAATTATAAATTTTTTAAAAATAATTTTTTAAAAAATTACAAGTTAAAAAATTTTAAATTTAGACTATACAAAATACATCTGGATAGTTAATATATAAAAATATAAAAATTTTAATATTAAATTAGACTCTCTTGATTAAATATAAACTAGATTAGTCAAAAAAATATTTTATTAGAAATTTTTTATAAATTTTATAAATTTTTATTTTAGAAAATATAAAATAAAAATATTAAATTAATTCTTTAAATCTGGACCATCTAGATTAAAAATCTAGATGGTCCAAATTGTATCAAGGTGATGAGCGCCCAAGATGGTTCCCTTTTTTGCACCGTTACTGAGGATCTAGAGTAGACTTTAGGTATTGGAACAGATAGGGTCAAATAGTTTTAGCTTAAATTTTTAGTTCTCTAAATTGTTATTTTGTTTCTTAGTTTTTAGTTTTTTGTCAATTTTATTTTTTCTTTGTTAAGATATTCTTAATCTCTTGCGCCCCTTGTTCTTTAGGATTGTCCTATATGTCACATAAAGCTTAATTGACAAAGACACGTGAAAACAAAGAGTGTCCAAAAACTAGTGGAAGCAACTTCTCAATGTTGCAAAGACTACAAACAAAGAGATGGTTGAGGATGAAAATAATAGGATGGGTGTTAATGACTTTTTGAGTAGACAATAGCTCGGCTTGGGGGTACCAATATGGAATTATTGAGCGACAATTTCAAGTCAATAACTTTGAGATCAAGCAAATTATGCTCCGAATGCTACTACCCAATGGACAATACAAAGGAGATAATATTGAAGAGGATCCCGACAAGCACTTAACACAATTCCTAAATATGTGATTCATTTAAGCAAAATGTGATTCTAAAGATGTTATTGGTCTTGGGCTCTTCGCTTGTTCGCTTAATGGGAAAGTCAATAGTTTTTCTCATGACAAGATGGTTGATGCCAGAGCTAACTTGGCCAATTTTTGCTTGCAGTTTGGTGAGCAGTTAAATGAAGCAAGGAAAATATTCAAGGAACTAGTTAGGAAAAGTACAAGACATAATCAAAAGAAATGGGCACAAATTCATATTTTTAATAGTTGGCACTTTAAACCACACTCACTAACCTATTTCTTACTATGAGTTAGCCTGCAACCTACAAGTTGACCCATATTTTTAACTCTATTCTTAAGTCACACACAAGTAATCTTAACATAGAAAAATCTTATGAAATCACAAAATCACTCTAAATTTTCATGTCATTTTTCTCAAGTTGTCAATTTGTTTTTTGTTTTTTGGAGAATAAGTTGTCAATTTGTTATATTGAAATTGTTCATTATTATTAGATAGTTGTTAGTGGAATTGTTTAAGTAACAACTAATATGCATTCGACCGAAAAAAGGTAACAACTAGCAGCAATAATTAACAATTTCATTGAAGGACATGAGATTTTAGAGTAATTGTATAATTCATGGGACTTTTCAATATTTAAATTGCTTGTATTAGATAGATTTGAGAGTGATTTTTCCTATATGTTCTATTACTTTGAATTTTACTAAAAAGTTCAGATAAATAAGAAAGAAAAGAATATCATCAGATCTTCTACGTACATTTACAAAAATAAATATAAAAAGAGAATTTGGAAAAGATTGAGAAAACATATAATAAGTATAAATAATTATGATACATGAATCTCATTTATAATTATATTTTTTTTCATGAACTCTGCCTTCAAAGATATGAATACATGAACTTGAGAGGATTGTGCATATAAAACAACATTGAGTTTGACCTTTTTGGGGGGGCAGGAATATGAAGGGTGATGGCATTAAATCATAGTATGATAGAAAAGCATTATCTGAGAATATACTATAAGGGGCAATCTCATTTATTACTATCCTTTTTTTAGTATGGTCAAAATCAAAGTAGTAAGTTATTCACAGAAAATTCAAAGAATTTACTCAAAAAGCTAGCACTGAAAATAATCAACATGATTATTATAGTTTCACTTTTGGCAAGAGTAGGTAGGGAAAATAGAAAAACAAAACATTCTGGGAAAAAATTTACACACACACACACACAATTGACAAATTAACACAGAATCTGATATGCATCCTTAATTTCACCCTCCCTTGGATGGGAAAAAAAATTATGGAGGAAAAAAATTATGAGATAAAACTCTTAGAAATAATAAAAATTTACTTTTTTAAAAAAAATTTCTCTTCATAATTTTTTCTCCTCCCTACTTTTTCCTAACTTTTTTCTCAATCCAAATCAAGCCAAATTTGGTTGAGAATAAAAACTATAGACCTCATAAATAAAAATTAACATATCATTAAGATCTAATCACAACTCAAGTTTTCAAATTCAGTTATATATATATATATATATTTCAGCACTGTAAATTTTTTTAAAAAATCTTGATTTGATACTAACCTTCTTATAAGGTATATTTAGTTGCCATTCCATTATGAAGTTTGAACAAGTACCCTATTAATTTTTTAAGAAAAATATGATTAAAATAAGTAGAGAACTTAAATAAAACAAATGGGTGCTTTATATGGTAATTGAATAGAAATCCAAATTCAACCCTCACTACCAAGGGCCGCCCGTCCTGGAAATCAAAAGTGCCAACTCACTTAATTAATATGCCCGACCCCCCGCCCCCTTCTTTTTTTCCTCTGATAAATTAAATAACCAATTTGCATAGCTATAATCACATTCATTGGCCAATTTTCTTAAAATTAGGATTATTTATAAGAAGTTAAGAACCAATGAATATCGAATATGATAGGACGATATATATGGAAATGATGAAACTCCAAGTCCTTCATTGTAATTTTCCCATTTAACACACGTAATTACACTCATAATTTCACACCCGTATCCTTACATAACCACGATTATATAACTATTCATTCATCTGCATATATCTTTTCTCTTCTGTCATAAAAGACCGTCTCAAGTCGTCGTCGTCGTCGTCTTCTTCGACATTTCACTCTCTTTCTAACTTGTAAGTAAGCCAATATGGAAGCCTACCACCCAACTTCCAAACCCTCAAAACCCAATTTCTTCTCTCGCAGACTCAACCTTTACTATTTAGTGGCCTTTCTCTGCCTCATCTTCTACCTCTTCGGCGCCTATCAACAAGGCGGCCGTATCACCACCACCGCCATAGCCGCCACCGGAGTCGGCCGTCCGTGTTATCTCAAACCCAAGACCATCAACTTCCATTCTCTCCACAACACCTCATCACTACCCTCATCGGAACCACCCAAGCTGTACCGTCGCTGCGGCGTTGAGTATAGCGAGTACACGCCGTGTGAGGATCGTGATAGGTCGTTGAAGTACTCGAGGAACAGGATGATTTACAGGGAGCGGCATTGCCCGGAGAAGAAGGAGATGCTTAAGTGTCGTGTTCCGGCGCCGTTTGGGTATAAGATCCCATTCCGGTGGCCGGAGAGCCGTGACGTGGTGTGGTACGTTAACGTGCCGCACCGGGAGCTGACGGTGGAGAAGGCGGTGCAGAATTGGATCCGGTATGAGGGTGATCGGTTTAGGTTTCCTGGGGGAGGGACCATGTTTCCTAACGGTGCGGACGCATACATTGATGATATCGGCAAGCTGATCGATCTCAGAGATGGCTCTATCAGAACCGCCCTGGACACCGGGTGTGGGGTATGGTTCTTTGTCGTCTTCTTTGTTTTCATAATTTTACAAACAGCCTCTTCTTTTTTTGGAAGGTCATAAAAATTATATTAATAATAAAATGAAAGGGGGGAAAAAAGTCACACGGCAGCTAAAGTGACTCCAGCTCAAACAGCCTCTTCTTAAAATAAACACGTCACAGGGATGACCCTTTCCCCCCTCAAAATACTATTTTTTATATATTATTTATATTCAGTAAAATTTATTAAAATAAAAATTCTGCTATTTATAAAAGTGTGGCTCACCTCAGTGCAAAAAAAATTAAATATAGTCCTGCATTATAGTACATATGTTAATTAATAAGAAAAAAATTATAAATATTAATGTTCATTGGTCATATATCTTTTGCATGACCAAAATTATATTGCCAACTTTCTTGTTGGTGGTTCTAATCTAAAATATCTTTTAGAAATTATTTTATTAATTTTCTAGTAGGGTGGCTTGAGAATATATTGGGTATCTTCTTTTTACCCAAAAAAAATATGAATTGTATATAATTGAATAGATAAACAAACAAAAGAGAAAAATATTAAACTTGTTTTACCCACTTTAATTTTTATTTTGTTTTTTTGTTATACCCTCTTTAATTTTAAACAACTTAATTAGTATTTATAGTAATAAAAAATGTTTACTTACTTATAAATATTTCCCTGATCCTATTTATAAATCACTTCTGACATATTTCATCAAAATAAATAAAAAAACTTTAAACTTAAGTTCTTAAATTTGCCCTTATTAATATATATACTTTAATAATATATTTTTTCTCTCAAACATGTAATCGAAAATAAAAGAAGAAATATGTTATGAAAATTTAATAATATGATAAATAAACATTTCTCTCTCTGTCTTATAAATAAAATTGAAGGTAATACTTATTAAGGATGCCTCGAACTAGATTCTAAATTAGGGATTTGGGAGATTGTGAGGTTATAATCAAAGCAAAGCTGTACTTTTGGTTAATTAAGGTGCCTTATTTCTCGCATGAAGCATTTGTCTGAGTATCAATTAGTGATCCACGAATCTAATTCTAATTAATAGCTTTTATTCTATATAAAAACCTATTAAAGGTTAAATTCTTTCACCTTAATCTTTCAAATAGAACCAGTAGTTAGGGGGTGAGCCGGTTTATTTGGGCTGAATTTATTTACATTAAGTTTAAAATACTTAAATATATTAAAAAAATTTATATAATCAAGCTCAACTATAAACCTTTAGTTTTTCAGTCTTATTTATCCCAAATAAAATTAAAGTAAGAAAAATCTTTTAAACTCTCAAATTCAACCCTAAAAGTTTATTCAAACTGATCTATCAAATTTAGCCAAAATTACTACCCTTACTTTCAAGGAGGGTGGGATATTTTGACATTGCCACATCTAGTGTTGAATTGATATGACAATTTTTAAGGACTTTTTTTTTATTGAGAATGATTTTATCAATATTAATAATTATTAATAAATATATTAATAAAAACATAGCACCGAAAAATTATAAATAATATAATGCTCATTCTTTAATTATGCAGAGATATAGATTAGACGAGTTTGAGAAGAAACGAGAAACTATGTTTTCCGAAAAAGGAACAAAATAGTAGTGGCAGGTGCCTTTAAAACCATGTTGTCGTTTTGGCGAAAACACAGGTTGCGAGCTGGGGAGCGTATCTGATGCGGCGGGGCATAATAACAGTGTCAATAGCACCGAGAGACACACACGAAGCTCAAGTCCAGTTCGCTCTTGAACGAGGAGTCCCTGCTCTTATCGGGGTCTTGGCCTCCAAGAGGCTCCCTTTCCCTTCCCGCGCTTTCGACATCGCGCACTGCTCTCGCTGCCTCATTCCCTGGGCCCAATACGGTACGTCGTTAATCCGAATGGCCTCTAAAAATTCCATCTCTCTAGTGTATCTGGTATAATGTATCGAGGCTTAAGCTTTCAATTGTTTTTTTCCCCTTCTGATCATTAGGTTTTATATAATAGGATTAAGGTATAATTTTATTTTTAAATTATGCTCAAAAAAATAATATTACCCCTAAACTACTCATCGTAATAATGTTACCCCTAAACTAATTAAATCGATGCAATATATTGCCCTCCCCGTTTAATGTTCGTTATTGTAGCCAATGGGACTTAGTTTTTATGAGTTAAGGTATAATTTTGCTCTTAAACTATTCTTAAAGGAGCAACATCTTCCCTAAATTAATTAAATATGAGCAATGTTGCTCCCGCCATTCAAAAATTATAAATGTTTATTAATTAAAGAGAGATAATAAAAAGTACTTTTTGTACTAGTGTCATTTCATTCACATCTTTTCTTAAATTCAATATTCATGTGAAAATATTTATCAGTGTTATGATATTCTCCACTAACATTTCAACGAGTCATAAATTATACATTGAGAAGAATTTTTGTACTAATTTTCTTTAGTGACAAATATAAAAATAGTTGAAGTATAAATTCACACTGACAACACTATATGAGGAGCTCTTGATCCACCAAAAAGCATATAAATAACATTTTTAGGGTAAAAAGATGAACAAAATTGACTATCATAAATAAATATACTCTCTCATAGGCATGCATTATAAACAAAAAAGTCTATACATAAACCATCATAAAGTGGTTACCCAAAAACTAATTTATCTACTAAAATTCTACAATCTAGTTGAAATCGTAACTTGATTCAATGTTAACTAGAGAAGGATAATAAAAAGTGAATCTCACTAGCTACAATTAATGGACATTTATGATTTTCAAATTGCAAGGGAAACATTGCTCTTTTGAAAATAGTTTAGGGATAAAATTACATCTTAACTTACGAAAAGTGAGTTTCACTAGTTATAGTAATAGACATTTAAATGGCAAGAGCAACATTATTCTAATTTAATCAGTTTAAGAGTAACATTGCTTTTCTGAAAATAATTCAAGAGCAAAATTACACTTTAACCTTATATAATATAAGAAATATGTTAATATCACATGTTGGTGTAACTAGAGTTAGGGATACAAGTTACTAGATCCATATCTTCTCAGAGGCATTCTCCCTCATCATCTCAATCTTAGCCCTTCAATAAATATTCAATATCTCATACTTTGCTACATCATCTCATGTAAAAATAATTTATTCAACTTTTTCTAAAAAATTTTTGGTTAGATTTTTTAAAATAAGTTTTTATTAGATAGCTCACAATGGAATTTGTATAAGTTAGACTTACAGCCTGACTTACTCTATAAATTTTTTAAACATATTTTTATTAAATAGATTAGGTCAGAGTTTGAATAAGTCAAACTATAAATACCTACTTATAGTCTAATTTACTCTGTAAATTTTTTTACTCAAATTTTTATTAAATAAGTCTCTTTATAAAAATCTATCGGGTAAGCTGGATTATAAGTCTCTTTATAAAATGCTGCTGGGTAATTTTTTAGAATAAATTTTGAAAATAGAAAATGAAATTAAAATCCAATTTAATGAAATAATTATTTTTAAAATAAAATTATTTTTACATGAGATGTGATAAAGTATGGGGCATCAGATGTTTATTGGACCGCTAAGATTGAGATGCCAAGAGATGCTGAGGGAAGACACCTCTGAGAAGGAATCTGGATCCCAAGTCACCTGGCAAGTTGTAGATTGTGACCCGTTGCCTGCCGCTGTATGCAAGTGCATATTAAAAAGGCTTCGTTTTTAACTGGTTTGGTGAGATCGGCTGAAAATAATTCACTTTAAAGCAAATTAGCTCCTACATATTTTCTTAACTCAACTGTCATTGTTTTTTTTTGGCGGGTTGGACTAACTCCACATGAAACTATATAGTTTTAGACTTTTTTAATACTTTTAAAAAAATAAATAAAATATGCACAATTTTAGGATATTTTCTTTACAAAATTTATTAAAAAAATTATACCATTTCATGGCATATCAAAATCATTTCATTACCATTAGAAATATTAAAAAATCGGTCACGTTTACTTATTAGAAAGGAATGAAATGGAATTGATTAAAAAAATGAAGGTAAAAATAAGATAATTAAAAGAGATATATAAACACATTTATAAGAGAGGGGGTGTAATTTAGTTTATGAAATTGAGAATCATGATTTATGAGATTTTTAGAAGGTGTAATGATTTCCACATTTATAATATACATCAATGAGTTTTATCATGTTTACTATAGGAAAAAGTGTGATTTAGTTTGTTTTTATTTTATTTTTTCAATTCATTCCATTCTATTTTTTTTAGTAATCAAACGTGATTGAAAGGTTGGGCCATTGCAAGAAATATTAAAAAAAAAAACAAGAATCATCTATCAGACCCCTCATTCTTCAAATTCTTGCAACATTAGGAAGTTAGGATATTACCAACAACATTAGAAAATGAGATATTAAAGAATGAGGAGTTAGTAGAGTTGTCAATAAGTGCTACCACAATCTTTATAAACTTGATTCTTAAGTGCTCAAGCCTATAAACCCTCTTATCTTAAAATTATCACTTTTGTAAAGCTCGACCTTTATTGACAGGGCTCAAGGGCCCCAAAAGCTTGCATAACTTTGTTTTAAAATTAAAATTTCTCCACCAACAAGATTCTTATATTGGTAGTGGGGTTTGATCCCACAACCTTATATATTATGAGTCAAATTCTTATTAACTGGACTAATTTTTGTTGGTTAAAATTAAAATTTCTAATTATACTAATACATATATAAATTGAAAAGTATCTTAATTAAATATCTAAAATATAAATATTATTTAGTCCATATTTAAAAATAAAACATTAGACCTTTCAGAGGAAGATATATTTGAAAGAGATAGTGTTACTTCAACAACCTTAATAACTCCATCTTCATTATCTAAAATAAATATTTAACAAATTGTGTTATTTTCATGTATTCATTCAAAATTTAAAATAAATTATATAAATAAAATTTTAAAAATTATAAAAGCTTAAGAGCCAACCTATAACACTTGCCCCGAGTGTTATCTAAAAATTACATAATTCAAATAAACTAAGTGTGGTTAAGGAGTTGATCCTAAAACCAACTTAGAAAACAAATAATTTAAATCACTAAACGAATACACTATCGTAAAATAAACATTTAAAATCTTTAGAAAAATTTATAGGTTCTACCTATAATGCACGAAAGCAAGCTAGATGAAAGCAGGATAAAAAGATGCTGTCATAACAGCATTAAATTGCTGCCATAACGGCCCTCCAGGGCCAACTTCTGGGAGGCGTCGTTCTGCTATTCAACCTTCGATTGAAATGATTTTAAAACTCACACATCATTTTTAATAATTACTAGTAGTGTACCAAATTTCAAAAAGATCTAACAGATGGATTGAAATTCATACATGTTACAAATTCAACAACTTTACAGTCATGACAGCATTAACAACACCTCCGGATCAACTGCTAGAGTGTACTGTTTTTTCGTATGATGTTCGATTGAGGTGATTTCAAAGACCACATGAAGATTATAAAATTTTTTACTTGTGATCCAAATTTCAAGAAAATCCGACAGTCGGATTGAAATTTAGACACCCAAATGTAAAAGTATAGCTTTTTGGTAAAAATCATTTTCCAAATTGTCTAAATCTCATCTTAATGGTCACAAACTTATGAACACACTTTAGACACGTCAAATAGGACTAGGAGTACTTGATAGAACATTTACATGATAGGAAAACCTCTTATATCACAATTTGACTACTCGAGTGTCATTTTCTAAAATGGACCCTAAGCTCTCAAAGTTTACAAATCACATAAGAGTGGCCAAAAACCATTCCAAATACCATATACACATATGAATATACATGCTAAACATTTTTACTTAGCTCAAAGATCCCTGTGGGGCCCACGCACCCACTCTTTCTATCCAAGGTGTATATTTACCCACAGCACATCATTCGCAATGCAATCATTTTGTATTTGCTTGTATACCACATATATATCAAAATAAATATTTGCTTCTAGTGAAACTTAAATCCATCAAAATCACACACCATAACCAAGTTTCCTAGTCATAAGTCTACAAGCAGACAAAAATTTATACAAAATCATACAATCTACACATATTCACATATATATGTATAATCACATCCTACTAACACCCTGATCCTAAATACATTATAATATATTTACTTAAAAGAAAGGGATTGTAGTTCTTTACAATCCACAAATAACCCCTGACTCTGCTCCTTTCCCCATCTACCATTGGATCCTTCACTTAGACCTAAAAATATTGAAAAGAAAGGAGTGAGACAACCACAGTCTCATTAATAAAGAAATCTACATTTATTATTACAAAGTAAGCCATAGTCAAAATAAATGAATAAGAGATTAAACATAACATATAATTTAATCATTTGAAATGCATGAATGCATGATGTAGGTCGGTATGACCTTTCTTGACCGACGGAATGCCCCCTGACACTCTTTAGCTCGCAGGTAAACCTTATACCTACTTATACCTCCATAAGCACAAAATATAAAATAAGGCATGATCAAATCTACCTAACCACCTATGCTTCTTCACGTGAATCCTAAGCAACCAAACCTAACTCCTTCCCAGAGCTAGCTCGACTTACTCTTCATGTGAGGGCTACCTTGGCCTAAGGACTCAGTCTTAAACTTCATATGTCGGATTCCATCTCCCACTGAGAGGTGTCAAACACTCAATCTACTAACCATTTTAGCGCATTGAGCCTACAATACGAAAGGCAACACTGGATACTGGCAATGTGCCATAGAATATTATAGGCCCACACTTTTTCATTGGTGAACTTCCACTAGCATTATGCTTTTCACTCTTGTCTACATTTCCTGAGTATTGACCATTTCAACAATTTAAGATAGCATAACAAATATCACTCCTCCCTTAAGCGGTTTCTTAGCCTATTTAATGTACCTAACTCAATTACACTTTCTTAAGTATAACTTCCATTCTCTATAATTACAATGCATGCAATTAATCTCGTTTCCATGAAAATATTATTGTTAAACAAATAGAAAATATATATGCACTATTATCCAAGTAATACCCCATAAGTCTTTATAAAACACAATTAATTACATTTAATCATTTAAAATATGTAATGCATGATAACTAGTAATATTTATTTAAAAATAGCTAAATAAAGCAATAAGAAATATAGATTCCCTTGTTACCTTAATTCTTTTATACTAAAAAGATTTTCCCTTGTACAAAAAATGAAACTTGGGTTGTTTTTTATCCTCCAATTAAGTTCCACTAATAATTTGCTACAACATATAAGTGATTCATATAACTTTTCATGGCAAATAGCATTAATGAAGACTATAACTCATACCACACAACTTGGGTCAATAAGTCATAATCCATCATGATGGTCTATATATTAAACCAACCATTCACATAATATCACTTAACCACCAAAATTATTTATTAGCCACCATTAGGCCAATTTTCAAATTTATATAATTTTTAATCAATTAAAAACCTTCACTTATTGTCACCAACTTTAATAATTAACCCTTATAATTAAAACCAAAACTTAATCTAAATCTTATTGAATTTAAATAGCAGAATTATAACTAAATTGATAGGTTTAAACCATTGAAGAGTGAACCCCAATCTCTTAGGGTTTGATTTTTGCCTTAAAACTCTATTTTTCATCCAATTGCTCACTCAAAATATTAGAGCACTATATAAAAACTCAAAACAACCTCTATAAGATCTAAAAAAAATCAAAGCTTACAAGAACAAAACATTTGGGATCAAAATCAAGAATTTTTCTCTTCCAAAAACACAAGAAAACCAAGAGGGAAGGAAGATAATTGAAGTAAGGAGTTTACCTATTGTATAGCCAAGCTCGCAACGGCAACAAAGCCTTCTAGATCTAAGCCTAACCCCCTATCTTCCTCCTCTCTTCTTCCTCTCACTCCCTTGTTTTCTTGCTCTTTGTTTCTTTGCTTTCTTTGTTTCATTTCTACGTGTATTGCCCTTTAAAAAACTGATCCAAACACTTTAGAAAAAATTATAATGAAGGGCCCAACATTTCTTTATTATAACACAAAAGCCCCGAGCAATTGTAGTAATTTTTTCTATAATTAAAAATAAAATAAAACTAAACTTTTATTTAGTATAATTTGAATTCTAAATCTTTATTAAATTATTTTTAATTTTAATTTAATTATAAATTTATTTATAAATATTTTATTTTAAATTAAATTCAAGTGTTAAAAATTGTAAGATATTACACAACTCAAGCTTGAATTCATTTTTGTAGGGTTTACAAGAAAAGTGTCCAAAAACCTTTTTACACCAAAATCTTTTTTTTTTCTAAAGCTCAACCTTCAAAATAAAATTCAAGGCCTAAGTAGGTAGCTTGTCAAGCCTGGCTCTTGTTAATGACTCTAGTCCTAGATTAGAGGCTCCAGACCTATCATATACACTGCAATTAATATGGTGTTGTGTATATAGATGGGATGTATCTGAACGAAGTGGATAGGGTTGTGCGACCGGGAGGGTATTGGATTCTGTCAGGGCCACCCATAAACTGGAAGAGACACTGGAAAGGGTGGGAGAGAACGAAGGAGGATCTGAACAAAGAGCAAAAGAGTATTGAGAAGGTAGCGAGAAGCCTGTGCTGGAACAAGGTGGTGGAGAAGGATGATATTGCCATCTGGCAAAAGCCCATTAACCATTTTCACTGCAAACCCATTCTTCGTTCCTTCTGTCCCTCTCCCAGTAATCACACTCATCCTGACCTCGCCTGGTAAATTCATCAACTCCTTCATTTTCGGCTTTATTATGCATCTTTAAATATATTTTATTAATTACTATAATGTGATCCTTTAAATTTAATTTTTATTAATTTAATTAGTCTCTTGTGTTTCTTTAATTTAACTTTGAAACACAAATTAACTTTTAAATTAAATATATTGTGTGTACATAAAGTATTCATTTGGTCCTACATTTATAAGTCAGAGAGAGTATTTGTTTTAATCTTATTTATAAAATACTTAAATTATTATTATATTCATCTTATCTTTATCGTTTTACCCTATTAAATGGGGAAAGATTATTAAATGATAGACATTTTATTTTTAAAATATGTATATTTAGCAAAGATAAAGTTAAAAATTTATTAAATTTTTAGACCGAGTTAATAAGATTTAAGGTTTCTTTCGTTCTTGTAAAAATATTAGAAGTAACTTACAAACAGGACTAAAGGGAGTATATGTTGATGACTTGGCACAGATATGTTGTTAAATGAAAATAAATTGACCTTCAAATCAATTTAATTTTTTTATTTTTAGAAATTTTTGAACATGCTTCCTTTTTCCTAATTGCCTAATTAGTTACATTTCTTTTTATTAATCCATATGACTGTGCATTTAATATTTTGCTATCCATGTTAATAGATTTTAGCGGTGTTATACTCCCTCTTTTAATAATAAGGACTAACTTGATTATTGGAAAAACTTAAAAAATTAAGAAAAAAATATAACTTTTAGTCCTGATAGTTTTAATGTGTTTTGGTGTAAGTCTTTATAATTCTTTTTTATTATTCCAATTCCTTTTAATTTATTTTATATGCAATATTAGTTCCTTTACTTTTAAATATGCTTAGAAGGATGATGTGATAGCACTAACAATATTATTTTTTGAACTGTCACTAGTGCCATTAACGTAGAAGTTAAAGAAGCATCCAAATCTTATATGACAAAGGAAACATGTGCTATGACCCCACAAAGTTGAAGGTTTATTAGGGTATGAGTTAAAGGAAAAATGCTCGACCTCCATTGACCCTACATGCTCGGATGTTAGAATACACTATCGGATGTTGTCCTGCTAGATGTATGTTAGTGAGGGATTAATGTTGTAGAGGGGATAAGCTAGAGGGACATGAAAAGATGAAAAAAAAAGTCGCGAAAACTTATACCAAAACACATTAAAACTATAGGAACTGAACGTTGAATTATCTCATAAAATCAATAAAAATTAAACTTAAAATAAAACATTGATAATTGAGGCAAACTTAAGGCTAAAAGTTTCATATATCCAATTTTTTTAAAATTTATCGGTTTTGAATAATTGTCATAATATATATATATATATATATTCAGGTACACAGACATGCAAACTTGTTTGAGTGGTCTGCCGGAAGTATCAAAGAAGGAAGAGACAGCAGGTGGCATACTGAAGAGGTGGCCTGAAAGATTAAGTGCTGTTCCTCCGAGGATTTACAAGGGAACAATGGAAGGAATTAATGCTGAGACATTCCAGAAGGATTCAGAACTGTGGCATAAACGAGTTTCTTATTACAAGGAAGTGAATACTCAGATTGGTCAATCCAGATATCGAAACCTCTTGGACATGAACGCTTACCTTGGTGGATTTGCAGCTGCTTTAAGTAACAATCCCGTTTGGGTCATGAACGTGGTTCCTCCTCAGTCTCAGGTTAACAGACTCGGCGCCATATTCGAACGCGGATTGATCGGAACCTACCATGATTGGTTAGCTCCCTCCGCCCCTCCCTATCTGATTTAGTTAGTGTTTTAAGAACTAAACCGATCCGGATGGTCAGATTAGTTGGATCACCACCAGTGGCAAAGTCAGGACCTGAGTTAGGGGTATGAAATAATTTAATAAAAATTAATTTTTTAAAAAATAATAATTATGTTAGGACTAAAATTGTTATAACATAAATAGTTTTATCATTATTTTTCATTTTAAAAAATTATATTAAACAGATTAGTATGGTTTTTTATTATAAATATACTCTTTATATTTTATCTAAATCATTAAAATGTTATATATTTAATACTTTTTTCAACCTAAATATTTTTCATTTAATTCATAGAGTGCAAAATATCAAGAGTAGGGGTGCAAAGTTGTAAATTTTATATACTCCATTTATAATTTTTTTCAAAGTAAGGGGATACATTTGCACCCCTCAACCCAATGTGACTCCGCTCCCTAGATACAAAAATGACTCAATTTGACTTGTTAATCTATTTTGGAGATTAATCCATTTTAGAACATTTTGAATTGGCATTAGCAGTTCTGACAGAACTGGAATTAACTCAAAACCAGAAATACTTACACTATTTTGAATCGATTTTGTTACTCTTATTTTAGATATGAAAATTTTTATTGAATTTAAAAATATTAATGTCAACTTCCTCTTGGAAGTTGTTGCAGTAAAAATGAGTCCATGATTTATTTATTGGTATTATATATGAATTAAAGTATAGAGTAATTAAATTGAAAATTGATCATTTAATTTGCTTTAAGAGGACAAGCCAGATAAATTAAAAAAATATGCATATAAAAAATGAGAACATTAAAAATTAATATGTTATGACTTAATGACTTTGAATTAAGAATAATATTATTTGTATTTTTAATGTTATATATATTATATAAATATTTTTTATTTAATTATTATGTTATTGGTTTAACCATGCATGAGAACCATGACCTACTAAGCTATCTTGTTAGTCATCCATTTTAGTTGTTAAAACATTGGATTCAGTAATGGAGCTTATGCTGATGGCCTTTGAATATATCTTCCTTCTTGCAGGTGTGAAGCAATGTCTACTTATCCTAGAACTTACGATCTGATTCATGCTGATTCTGTATTCACTCTTTATGATAGCAGGTATATATATATATATATATATTGGCCTTACTATGCAGTATAGCTTTGCTTCTTCCTTTGAAATTAACCATGCAAATTGTGAATCATGAAATTAAGCTGAGTTTTTCATTTGGGTTTTACTTTGTAGATGTGAGATGGAGGATATTCTGATAGAGATGGATAGGATTCTGAGACCTGAAGGAAGTGTAATTATCAGAGACGACGTGGATATTTTGGTCAAAGTGCAGAAACTGGTTGAAGGAATGGAGTGGGAGAGTCAAATTGTTGACCATGAAGATGGACCTCTTGAACGGCAAAAGCTTTTGTTTGTGGTCAAGAAATATTGGACAGCTCCTGAACCTTCTTCTTCTGACTAATTTTGTTTTTTTTTTTCAAGAGATAATAAAGTGTTTTTGGATTTTTTTCCCCAGCTTTAATTCGATTAATTTATGTTCCTTATTTTTTTTATTACATTCTGTATCAAATATTTCGGGGGGGGGGATTGCATTTGATTTTTACATTTTACAAAGTTCTTTAATTAAAAAAATATAATGACAAATTCATTAAAATCAATATAATAATATCAATTAATATAGGGTTTATGCATTTGATTTTTGCATTTTATCAATATAATATCAACTTATATATGGTTTATGCAAGCAATTTGTCCAATAGTGGGCTTTGAGCCCATGAAAAGTTTACTACTAGCTAGTCTCTCTAAAAGTTTATTTTGGCGCAACTGTAACTAAATGAGATAAATAAAAAATCCTTTGTAATATAATTTGTAAAAGAAGTACTGTGAATCTAAGATAAATGATAATTTATAAATAAGTCTCATTATTTTGTACTCTGTTTCATAATATTCCTTAGATTCACTGGCGGATCTATAACGACCTTGTCATTATTTTGTATATCGTTGCTAGATACAGTCGCGGAGCTAGAACGACTTTGGGCTAGGGGTGCAATTTTTTTTCAAAAAATAATAGTTTAAAAAAGTATTTAACAATATAAAAAATCAATTATATATATTTAATATTGTAATGGGTTTTGAATTAAAAAATTAAAAAATTTGGATCCGTGTTTAAAAAAAGAATCAAATGAATTTAATGCCAAAGTATTAAAAAAGGGGTACAAAATCTAAAAATCTATATCCGTGTTTTTTTTTTTTTTCGAGTGATGGGGCATACGTGGCTTTGTCACTGCTGGTAGTATCACTAATTAATTCATACTATGATTATTTTTTACTGTACACAAATTCTTTTACTAGTACCAATCCTATTTAAAACACAATCAAGTATTAAACATGTGCACTTTTTGATGTAGGAATTCAAGTATTAGTTTATCAGTTTATGAAAGATTAACTCCTTCCATTAGATTTAATAGTTAGTTATTATCATTATATTTTGAAGGAAAAATAACAATCAAGGACTGCCAAAAGAAATTTATATCAATTAAAGAGCAATTGTTATTAAAACCTGAATGGAAAATAAGTCTGAATGAATTGCTATTAATTTAGAATGAATTGTTAAAACTCGAATGAATATTTATTAATAAAAGACTAACCCAAATCAATAAGTATCCATTTACGTTTTGACAACAAGTGATCTTTAACTGATATAACTTTCTTTCAATTGACCTTGATTGACAGTTTTTCTATTTTAAATGAGATAACATTTTAGGAATGGTGTTTTTTTTCCTATAAAAAATTTAAACCCGAGAACTTATATACCAATGTTCAACATCGTAAGTTATGAGATTGACTGATTAAGGATTATTACTATTATTACTATTATTATTATTATTATTATTATTATAAAAAATGTTAAAAATATGAAAAATTAAATAAAATTAATTAAATATTCAAAATTGAATGGCGATTCAATTTGCGTGAGGACGCCAACGCAAAACTTGCGAAGCAAAAACGCACAAGAAGGCAGGCGAGTCACACGAAAACACAGCACCACCGCTTCAACTCATCCCTATAAAACGCGACCTTTGCTCCCGCAGAAAATCACAGAACAGAACTTTATATTAATTATTTCAACATTCTGATCAGATTACTCAAAGCGAGATCGATCGATGGCATCTACTCTAGCACGTGCAGTGGTGGTGATGGCGGTAGCACTGATGGCGGCGGTGGCCATAGAAAAAGCTGAGGCACAGAGCGACGGCAACTGTGCGAACGGAGTGAGCAGGCTGACTGTGTGCGCGCCGTTCGTGGTGCCCGGAAACAACTCGGCGCCGAGTGCCGAGTGCTGCTCTGCACTCGGAGAGGTCGACCGTGACTGCCTCTGCAACACTCTCCGGGTCGCTTATCAACTTCCTTCTCAGTGTCACCTTCCCTCCTTCAATTGTCCTTCATCAAGTATGTATATATTATTTAAGGGTTAAATGATACTTTTATCCTTAACTTATTAGTTCTGCTGTCAAGACTCTAAACTTACATTTTATTCCTATTTATTAGGCATAGATAGAATTTTTTTTTAGTTTTATTTATAAATCATCTCATTAAATTTTTATCATAAATTTAATTTTTTCATTTACTTTTCATTGAATTTTTCAAAAAAAAAATGTTATTAAATTATATATATTTAATAAAGACAAAGTTAAAAAATTATTAAATTTTTAGATAGAGAGTTAATAAGTTTTAAATTTTTTCTTGATGCTAATAAAATTTTTTTTTACAGAAAAAAATATGTTGGAAGTCATTTATAAAAAAGACTAGAGGAGCAATTAAGATGTAATGTTTCCCATCGATTTTTAAAAATAGTGCAATATTAACTTATTAAAATTTTAACCATTACTTGATTAGAAAATATTAAAAAAAATTACAAAAAATATATAAAAGATTACTGCAAAGGAACAAGAAATTTTTATTGGTCTTCTTCTCCATAATTTTTTAAGTTCTTTTGTGTAATTTTATGGTGACAAAATATTATTAGCGAACTTTTCTAGACTTCATTCAATATTTTGAAAGAATTTTTTAAAAAGATCAATTATTTTTAAATAGAAAATTTTATAAAATTTTTTGAACCCTCTGGTCATGGCGCGGGTACTGGCTTTGCCACTCTTTCACTCTTTCGTACTTATTTAAGCATTTAGAATGCATGATTATTTCGACCCAAAAAAAAAAAAACGAAAGAAAGAAAGAAAGAATGCATGATTATTTGTCTGATATCACAATTATAAAATGACCTTTAAATTTGTTTTCATAGAAGTCATCAATATATTATTAATATTATTATACAAGATCTTCATTTGACCCAATCAAAAAATCGTTCATTCGAAGAGCTGCTGAAACAATTATCAGATTGTAATTAAGTTGATCCTGCAATTGAATCCATGTTTTTACCTTATTTATATAACTTGTCGGATTTTGAAAATTTTAACACACACACATGTAGTACATATACACTTCTGCATAATTATTCAGTTTTCCAATAATAATTTGTGGTGATATCATTTGTGAAGCTTGAAGCAGGTCCAATTGGGTACGGTGAATAATGTTGACGAGAAGCTCAACTTGGCGACCTTTTCATACATTTGTAGGATTTCAACCATTGACCTATTTTGATGTTATATACTATATATTAGACATCTGTCCGGTAAGATCATAATATAAACTATATAAAAAGAAAATGCCTCGGTCATCATGAAATAAAAATATTGTTGGCTTCCTCTTTGTTTAATTTGTGAATCTTCTTTGACTTTTCTTGTTTTTGTGAAATTTGTCTTCCCCGGATCAGGTCAGAAAAAAAATCAGCATATAACATGTGGTTAGAACAGTTATGGAATGTCTTTGATTTTAAAATAAAAATAAAAAAGATATTAAAATTTTAAATAAAATATTTTAAATTGTTATCTCTCTCATGCGCGCACATAAGATATCAGTATAAAATCATAATATCTATAGACCTTGGACAATACACTATCCGGTCTTTATTATAAGGCATGTTTTATAAGAGATTGATGGTTTTTAATGTGAAGTATTAATTATGTTTTTCTAATATTACACCTATATAAACACATCAACTATTAAAGATAATGTAATGCAAATTTTGAAAAATTTGTAAAATTGAAAGGTTTTTTCTTTTTTTAATTTTCAAACAAAGTCAATGACATAACAACCTCTCACTAGTTGTAGTGAGATGGTTAAACGTATCTTATAATAGAAATTGGAGAGAATTTTTCTTGCATTTAAAGCCAAAGTATAGAGTAACATTTTGTGTATATAAGTGATGAGATATTTGGGAAATTTTTTATCAAGAACCAAATTTAAGAGTTATTTATTTGTAAAGATCTTTATGGTAAACACTTATAGTTCTTGTAAATTCAATTTTTTAAAACTAGACCCAATGATAAACTAAAAATGCTATCGGGTCATGGTTTTCATGGTTTAATTGATTAGATCGCTGTTCAAACTAGTGACATAATAATTAAAAAAATAGTAAGATTTATATGCCTATCTATGTAAAATAAAATATTAAAAATACTGATAGTGTCATTCCTTGTTTAGAGTTGTTGAGCCATAACATATTGTAATGTGCTCAACTCTACAATACAATTATCCACATACTTAGCCACTAATTAAAACACTACCATGGCAATTAAAAAGTAAGTAATTATTATCAAAAGATACCATAGTAGAAAGTATCAACCATAGTAAAATAAGACAAGGTACAAGACTAATGGCCCATTTGGTAGCAGTGAACTAGAGGGATAGAAGCAGAAGCGGAAGTGGAACCCATAAATTTAAGTGTTTGGTTTACATGAAGTGGGTTCTCTAGGGAAGTGAATTCCATCAATTATGGTGGAACTGGATTCCATACCTAGGCCTAAAGAATAGAGTTCCACCTCTCTAGAACTCCTTAATATGATCATTTTGCCCCTCACCCTCCATCCTTGAAACAACTTATTGATAAGCAACCCCATTTGAATAAATCCTACTACAGTTTTTTCTTTACTCTAGTAGAGCGACCCCTACCTTCACTATCATTGTAACATACTAGTTTTTATTTAAGGACTTAATTGGGGAAAGTGAGGATTTAAAATTAGGCACTACACCAAAACAGTGATGTTCTCAAAGCATATTTCTGTGAGACAACAATCTAAAATTCCATGAGAACATCATTTCTCATGCCAAAAGGTTTGTTACCAAAGTAGTCGAAGGAAAAAAAATTATTTTTTGAGGTTTAATTAAGGAATAAATTAGTATTTGAGGCATTTAATTATGGATTAAACTGGGTCTATAATCATATAAAGTGGTAATTAGGGTCAAAAATAGGTGTTAGGCCAAGTTAGGCCCAATAAAATTAGACTTAAGTGTGATTTGCCCACTCTACCTTGATCATGCACGAAGAAGCTAACAAAGGGCTCAACCACTCATAGACATCAATAGAGAAGGCGAGAGTTGTAACAGCCCTCCTGGGTCACCACTGCCTCTCCAGGGTCTTTTCCCAGGCGCTGGACAACACACATGTCACCACATGATTGCCGGCTTTCCCACTGGTGGTACAGTGGTTATTCCTCACCCCACCCTCACGGGGGTCTTTTGGAACCTCCCCAGACTCGAACCTCCAACCTCTACCACCTTAACGAAGTTGAGGCGAAGTCTGGTACCATTGAGTCAACTTGACTCAATGGTACCAGACTTCGCCTCAACTTCGTTAAGGTGGTAGAGGTTGGAGGTTCGAGTCTGGGAAGGTTTCAAAAGACCCCCGTGAGGGTGGGGTGAGGAATAACCACTGTACCACCAGTGGGAAAGCCGGCAATCATGTGGTGACATGTGTGTTGTCCAGCGCCTGGGAAAAGACCCTAGAGAAGCAGTGGTGACCCAGGAGGGCTGTTACATAAAAGGCGCCTTTTAATGTAACAGCCCTCCGCTCACCCCGCCTACCCGAGGTCTTTTGCGGCGCTGGACACTCTCCCCCCAGGCCCCACAACAGGGCGACCCCACCCCTCACGGTGAGCATCAGGAGACAAAGGCTTCCCCGCAGTAGTATGCGGATTATTCCCCTTGCGGAGAGCCTCCCCAAGTTCGATCCTCCAACCTCTCCTACATAACAAAGTTGAGGCTGAACCTGGTACCATTGAACCACATATGTAACACCCTCAAATTTACAAATTGATTTTTCGCAAATTATTAATTCAACAAATCATTTTTTTTCATTGAACCCTTATCATACCCTTATCATGGTAAAAAAAATTTTACCATGATACATCCAAGACAATATACCACAGGTCTTAAAATATCTCAAAAAACAATTAGAACCATGAGGGACAGACATGATCCTCATGGCATGTTATTCAAATCAAGTCATAAATTAAAAGGGACAGACATAATCCTCTTGAACATATAAATGCATTTAATAAAAAGGATTAGAGTTTACATGCTCCACAAAGAAGATATGTCCTAAATTGGCACAAGATACATTGTATAATCTAAAATAAGAGGCAACCTAAAAGATGGTGTCTCATACACCATAATTACACCTCTGGTGCTTTCTCGGTCGGACTCGCTCCTATAAAAATATTAACCACGGGGAATGAGACTTAAAAGTCCCAGTAACCAGAAATTAATATGTAATGATGCATGCGGATGTAACTAATCATGCGATTGCTAAGTGGGCACACAAAACATTTAACCGAACAATACTTTCAAACAAACCGAACAAGTATTTAATTTGCATGACTGCACCTTATATCCTCCTTTCGCCATGCTCGGACGCCAAATCACCCGGCCAAAGATGAGTTGGACCAAGCGACACGCCACTCATTGGATCCAATGAGGGCTTACCACGTGGTAATAATTAACCGAATAGAAATTCCCATTAACACCATACATTAAAATACCCTGACAAGTCATGCATCATTCAAATATCCAAATAGGAATATATCCGAACAATAATATCTCATCATGATAAATAAAAATAAATTTTTGACCCACTTGGCAATAATTTTAAACAAGTATATAACAGTATTTATTTTCAATAATTTATAGTTTTTCCAAACAACAAAACAACACATAACCATTCACAAACACACTCATCACAACACATTAATAATGGTTACCTTGTGTCTTAAATAACAAGTTCCCCTTCACAACTCCTTTTTCACCACTATCTTTGTCAATATAATCTACATAATTGTTTCACAATACTATATATTAATTTTACATTAAAATAAATAACTCTAATTTAAAGAGTTAGAAAGTCTTAGATCTATAATCCATATTAACACTAATTTAAGATTTATGCCTCATTTAACTTCCCAAATTCTTTTCTAAAATTCTCGTACCCTAATAAATTATTTTTAAGCCTCAAATCACTTCTAGTATCACAATTTCATCCTTCTATATTCTAAAAATTCGTCCAAAAATAAATTAAAAATTTTAGAATTATCTTGAAGCCTCAAATCACCTTTCTATAACCCCAAAAATACCTATTCATACTTAAATAAATATCTAATAATCAGAGGTTCATCCCTACATCTCAGATTCTACATAAATTCAACCATATAGATCTAGATTTTAACTCAAAAATTCTTAAACATGAGTTTCAACCTTAAAAAAATATTTTATAATATTTATTATATCCCTAAGAGTTTTAACCTATATTTTTAATCCATCATATCATCAGATTAACTATCCTATAGAAAAATCCTAATCAAAATATTTACTCTATCCTACAAAATAATCATATCACTAGAAAGCTAATATTATTTAGAAAATAACTAAGAAATTAATTTTGTAATTAAATAAATTTTTAAATACTAATCTAAACAGGAAAGTTAGAACATACCTGAAGAAAAAGAAAATAACCCCCCTTGCGAGAAAACACCGAGCAACATGAGAGGAAGAGAGAAAAATAATATAAAAATGGAATTGTGAGTCCCAAAATTATATTAAAAAAAACTATTGGTTGGAATTTAATTATTCAAACCTTTGGGCCAAAAGTTGCAATTTCCTCTAAATTGCATCTTAGCCTCTCATGCTTCCTAATGCACACACCCCCTCCTTTTTATACATGAAGGCACCTCTTCTCTTCCCTTATCTAACCAATGTGGGACTTAGAAACAACAACCTTCCACCCCCCTTTTTTTTGTTTCTTCTACCTTCTCTCTTTTTTTTAACACACACATAAAAAAAATTATTTATGTATTATATCTTAACTAAATATTGCTTATGTGGTTTTAAATTTAAATTTTTAAATTCATAATTAAATACCTAATCATAATATTATTTCTAAATAACCTCAAATAATATAAATTCCTATTATTATCATTTTTTCCTCAAAACCTAAATTCCACAATTTCTTTATTATATAAAAATCAGGATGTTACAAGAGTGCCTTGAGTTGTCACAATTACACTCAAACACAAAATGTGAAGGCTTAAATGTGTGTAGGTGTATATGCATTTAACAATCCTTATTTTGGAAATCAAATCAATTGTACAAGAGAAACCATAGAAAATTGTAAGAGCTCTATTAGGGCATGAAGATTTAATGAGTTAGAGTTTTCTTAAGCCTAGGAATCACTTAAGGTAAGTTCCTAATAGCCCTATTCTCTCCTATTCGACCTAGTTTTTCTTTAAATTTTAAGAAATTTTTCAATTAGAATTTTCCTATAAGGTTGAAGATTCAAAATTTTGGGCACTAATTCTGATTGTTGAGGTTAACAAAAGTGTAGTA